TCATTTCAATGTGAAAATAGAAAAGCGTCGTTTCCGAACTGAAACGAAAGATTGCGCCGCTCTGCGCTTTCCGACCGGGCTTTTGCAATCGATCGGTTGAGAGAATTGAAGAAAATACAGCGAAACTTATACAAATTTCAGGAAACCTGTGAGAATTTCAAAGAAGCCAACCGCAAGCTACGAGGGATCCTGCAGAGAATTCCGATCACTTTTGTTTCGACCCGCCCCCGCGATCGTCCGCCCCCGCCGTCCGCGACGTTCAACGATATACCGGGACTGTGAATTCATAGAGCGAGTATTTCAGACACGTAAACTCGATTAAGAACTGACATTCATTTCCTCCGATAATCCCGCGAGCGATGTCTTCCCTGGCCTCTTGATCGATTTGCCACGGGGGTTAAGTCCCTTTCTCCCGGCCGCTCTTTCCCTCCCGCCCTCTTTCGCCCGTGGACAGGTGTCTCGGCTCGTCGAGATTTGCATAGGGACCTCCGGCGATCGACTGTGTGTACGTAACCGGAGGAATTTTCGCCTCCAGGAATTTAATCGTCGGCGAACTGGGAAAATGTTTGACGGACAAATACCCGTTGTTTTCCTCCATTCATTGAAATTTAAAACTTCCCGGGACAAGGTAAAACGGGAGACACGAGTTAGCTTTTCTAATTCCGCGATCCCTTCGCGTGGCGGACGTTTCGGGACCGAGATCATTTTTTCCTTTAACCCTTCGCACTCGAGAGCCGCCATTCGGTCGCCATTTGATTTGACCCATGGAAATGATAAAATAGAATTCGATGTTAAATTTTTATATAATGCATTAACGCATGAAGCATCGAAATAAAATAGTACTGTTACTAAATTTGTGCAAGGTATTTCTTTTGTTGTAAAACATACCATTGAATATTTCTTGAGAAAAATGTTCTCGAGTACAAAGGGTTAATTTGAAGTAATCGAGCAACTTTTACCAGAACACGACGTGGACATTTTATTGTTAATTGCGTTATTAATTCATCCTTATTCACCTCTTCTATTCTTAGCGCCTGAAAGCACTTGAAAAGATTGGTTTCGGTGTACTGTAGGCGTTGGCGCCCCTAAAATTAGTAATAACAATTGCAGCAACACTTCGAATTGATATAGATGAATTCTTCAACAATTACATGTTGCGTTGATCATATATTATATAAGTGTGATTATTTTAAATTGATTTAATTCAGCTCGATTCAGTTTTCATGGCTTCAATACACTCCCTTAGAAATCGACGACATTCTGCCGTAGCCAAAGAGTTAATTATTCCTTAAAATCATCCATTTCAGATTTCCCTTGCGAGTACCGAAAAGATGCAGACACATTGAGAAATGTTTAAGAAACTCGAAGTTCGGTTTAAGTGCTCGGTAGTTCGGAAGTCGAACTAAACGAAATTACATCGCAAATGAGATCCCGCGAACATTGAAAGTCGAGCTTCGGAGTAATACCGCGGACAGAATCCTTGCACATGGCAATATCTAATTGGCCTCGTCTTCTGTTCCTTGTTCACGGAGTAATGAAAAAGCAAGTATGAATTTCGAAACACGGGGCAGCAAGTAAGGAAGAGGAGAAATTCCAACAATTTCAGTCTCGCAATTTTCCAAATCTCTCGCTGCACATCGATTTGTACGTTTCAAGAAGAAAATTTTCGGTCGATTGTGGTAGTAAATAATTCCGTGCGTCGCCGGGGAATCGAGTTCGTTTGATCGAGCAGCGTTTGGATCGTCGAACGTACGGTTTTTCCGTTGCGCCAGTGATGTAGGTGCGAATTAGGTCAGACCGCGGCTCCTAGCGCGCATTCTTCTTCATCGGGCCGTAACTCGAAAAGTAAACTCCGGAGTCTCTTTTCGCTTATTGCGTCGTCGATTGGCCGCCATTCCTTAATAAACGGGAAATTACTGAACGTACGCTGTACGTGGGATGACGGGGACCGTTGCTTCCGCGAAGATATTCTATCCAGCGCGCTCCCTGCTCTTCGTCTCGCGCGATTCGGGAATTGAATTAAAGGACAGTGAAGTTTTCATTGCGGCGTGGATGAAGACGGCGTAACGCGATTACGCGGCCATGTGTTTTACGGCGCGGAATGGAACCGGGCGAAATTGAAATTTATAAAAACGAACGGTAATGACGCACGGTTTCCATCGCGGAGTCCCGTCGGGATCAAACAAAGCGCGGCGTCTCCGTTCGCGTAGGAAATATTTTGCCCGTAATTGTACGTTAATCGTCTGGGAAATGGCCGGGTAATTGTGAACCTCGATTACCTCGTTCGATAAACCGTTGACGATTCAGAGAGAAATATTCTGGAAGAATATGAACAAATAAATATATTTTTCACGACAGTCTTTCCGTTGGATGTATTCTTTATTTTCTGATGAAACGTCAGTGACTGACATTAATATAAATAAGACAGGAATCGAGGGATGGAATGAATACTCGAACGTTTCGCGGATAATCGCGTTAAACGAACTTTGACATTGAATATCGAAACTTCGCAATTCCGCTGTGTCAAAGAAAATGGCGGGCGCGAGTCGCCTCTCGAAGAAGGGTTAGAAATCTGGTTTCTTTGTTGAGTTTCTGGAGAACTTTATACTTTGTTCCATAAACTTCTCCTGTTCTTGTTATATAAAGAGAGTTGGATCCTCCACTTCCGGTCGTGCGAGGATTCGAAAACCAACGACCCTGCTGCGGTTGATTTATGATCTATCGACCGGTCCGATTAATGGGCCGAACCATCGAAAACAAACAGTTCCATTGTAAACGCCGCGGGGTTTTAATTACGAAATGGGAAACAAGGGAAGAGATCATTTCCTTGTGCCGCCGCGGGAGACACCAGCAATTCGAAGCAATTCCATTTCGGATATTAATTACTGATATACCGCCGAATTATTTCATCGCTGCGTCATTCTCCTCCTTCGTCGCGGTACTTTATTTGTTGCTCCAGTGACCTTTCCTATGCGTCATCGCGTTCCACCGACACCCGAGAGAACTTCCAGCTTCGTCGACTTCGAGCTTACGCGAAGATCACTCGGTAGAACACCGCTGGAAAAATTCGCGAACGGTTAACGGAGATCCGAGGTAGCTTGATCTCCTTCTCTCAACCGCCTTTGTTTAAGAATACTTTCATTATACGCCGTTAATTTTCGAGAAACCCGTCGGTAAGTTTCAGGCTGAACAAGGGATGATACTTAAGACGTCACAAAGGACGGGAAACTTAATTTAGCGGCCTCATAAAGTTCGTTTCCCGATGAAAAATGGATGCAAAACGGAGGGGACGAAGGGTTGCCAGCAACAATCTTTTTAATAATTCCATAAAGACCAGTGTATCGTGCAAATTTCCCCGGAGAAGGGGCAGTTGAAGTTTCGAAGCATCGTTTACGGTGCTCCTCGCGTCTTAAGACGGTAGCTGGGAAAAAAGAGTAGTATCTGGCCGATGCGGAACAGCGTGTTTATGTGTTATTTACCGTAACCTTGGTACTTGGGTCGAATTTATCGGTTATTTACCACAATTCCGGCTTGCCGCGCGTGTGCTTTCTTTTGTTTACGACGAAGGAGAACAGTGAAAACCATCAGGAACGCCGGGCACGTAAGGACAGTAATACGATTTCCTCGACTTTGAGCTCTCTTGTGAGATCACATTCGGATCAACGAGTCCTGTTTACTCGATATTCCGTGACTGTCCTGTGTAATGCAATACCACCCTTCGCTCTCCACGGTCTCGACAAACAGTGGACCCTCTTTCGTAACTGATCGCCCTTTACGAACTTTTTTTGTTCCGGCAACGCGAGTTTCATCGGCTATCAAACTTGACACTTCCGTTGCTTCTTTAAGCGTCCGAAAACAACAGTTAGGAATGGTTATCAACCCTTAGCTCTCGCGAATTAATTTCGAGACACGGATCGTATCGAAACGTACCGGATGCAGTCGATGTTTGCAATAGAGATTCGAAATCATTTTATTATGTTTATCACTCTTATTGTTGCAACACGTTAAGTATTGTACTAGGTCACCTGTGAATTTGTTTCCGCTTGTGCAATTTAATTTAACTCCTTCCCTTGAGTTTATTGCTTTGTTCACAACATGATCAGTTTTTCTAATGAAAGAAGATGTTTGTATTTAGTAAATACAATAAGAAAGGAAATAATAAGTAAATACATAGAAATGTTTGCGAACATACTGTAGAGACCATCGCTGTTAAGGGACGTTTTATTGAATCATTTGGTGAAGAATAATTCTGTTTTGATATTGGATGCTTTGTACATCGTAAATTAAGGAACACACGAATATACATGAATAAAGTCAACAGTTCTTCGGAAACCGGTTCAAAATCACTTGAATATTCTCATCCGAATGCAACCGGAAGCATTAATAAAAAGAACTCTGCCTTCATTAACTCAGTTTCGATTCCTTTTCGTTTCGACTGCGCGATTTCCTCGTGAAAATAAGGAAACGCGATCGTAAACATGAACACCGACGCTTTTTACGGTAACGTTAGGATCCTGCCGAGCAGCCAGCCACGGAATTTAATGGGAAACCTGTTGCTGGCAAATTGATTTCCCCCTAGACCCACGCGTATCCATACGTAACGAGCTAATCTTTCGTCGTCGGCTCCCCGGCTTGGTTTTTAATCGGTCCCGCACTCGGCTATCCGGTCTATAATCCCAACGAGGCGACGCTATCCTTGCTTAATCAACTTATGAATCATTGATCAGTTCCCTGTCACTTCGTTTCCGCGAGTTGGCCGAGGCCGCTTAAGAATTCACGTCAGAAAGAAACCAAAAGAACCCGAAGGGATCAAGGGAAACAATGAAACCGACCGTGCTCGATCATGAATACTTAATTAAACGCGCATCCCCCGATCGATTATTCCCTCGAATCCAAAAACTGATTTCAAGCGAATCGAACGACGTTCGATCTGTTAACGAGCAATCCAATGATCGTTAATTTTTCAGTAAGTAATCCTGAACAATTCTCCTACTTTGCAGCGACGATCGGTGTTGATATTTTTCTCGACGACCGAGAATGATGGGCTCAACGATCGTAATCCTCGTTTCGATGACGACCATGGCGATGTTCTGCAACAACGTCTTAGCAGCTCTGCCCACCCAGTGTAATCCCGGATTCCTCGACGAACTCCCACCAAGGATCCGCAAAGTCTGCGCTGCTCTTTCCAGGATATACGAGCTCGGCTCAGACATAGAGAGTTACATCGATGACAAAGAAAGTCACATAACAGGTGAGATATCGCTGAGAAAACGTTGAGCATCGACACGCTCGTGATCGGTTACGATTCCCCAAAGTCTACTGTCCAAATTGCATATGCTCTACTATTCGAACGCGTAAGAATATAAAATACGATAGAACTGTGTTGCCAGCAGTTTGCTGCAGACTTTTGAAATCGCGTAGAAGTGACCGGCATATTTCTGAAAAAATGGGAAATTACGTTGCTAGCTTTCTGCTAAAAAATATAACAAATGACATTGAAGAAAATGAAAAATATAGGATCACTTTGCTAGTGTTCTGGGAACAAAATTGAAAGTGAAGCAGGGTTACGTTGACGATCTCGAATGTGTCGATTGTCGGGATAAACGGAAAATGCTCTATTCTGTGATATTTCCAGGTTTCCACGAGAATATCCCGTTATTGGACAGCGGTGTCAAGAGGCAGGACGTCGATCACGTTTTCCTCCGCTTCGGAAGGCGTCATTAATCGGCCCGAGTCAATTACGCTTTACATTGAGAAGATATTGAACGATTTACTTCTTATCACTTGATCGTCTCACTGTCGAGCTACGAAACGACACTTTCTTCGGATTTATTTTAGATCTAACCGAACGAGAATCGATGAATGTTTAATGAGAATGTTTCGCTGCTCCTATATCGAGCGTGCCGCGTTCGGCCGAGCGACGCCGAAAGGGTTCGTTTCCTCCTGCGAATAAATCCTTTAGCCAAAGCAGAAACAACTTGGGCCGACAGCGGTTAATTCGTTTTGCGACTCGGTTACGATACTTGTAAGGGACGGAACGTTCGAATTCCAGCTATCGCTAATAATATTCTCTCTAATCGAAAATCCTTTGTTTCAATGTAAATTTGAATGTCTAAAAGACTTTATCTTTCCTATAATATTAACGCAAGGATGGTTTAAAGTAAACGAAATAAATATTAATGAAGAAATTACACAAGCTGCTCTAATTTATTGAACGCTTTCGCGCGAACATTTTCCTCCATCCTGAGTCCCCGGTGAAGCTATGGAAGACGGAATGATTGGTGCAGAGAATGATCATATTTGAGGGGGAAGGAAGAAAATGAGACGATTGATTCATATCGACGACAATTTTTATTTGTTCGCGTTGTAACAGGGAAAGAGATGATTAACGTTTGTGTAAAAATAAAACGTAAAACTTGTTTCACAATATACGTCCACGGGGTGACTTAGTTAAGTTGTAACGGCAAACATCAACTGAGTGTAAAAGGTTCGAGACGCATGCACAACAATTCAATGTACAAGATACACATCGTGACTGTGTCATCCAATGATCTAATTCAGCACAGCTCGTATAATTTCGAAAAAACATTTTCACAAATCTTGTTCCCTCCATTGAGATGGAAAATATTTCCGCGGATTTTTATCGTACTACTATCTACAGAGATAACTTTTTACAGGCCATATACATTCTTCTCCTCACTTCAATCGAAACAAACGTTGTTCTTTTTTTTACAGATATCAATCACGAAAAGTAACAATATCACGAATAATTAGGGTACACATACTTCACCGGTATTATCGTTTTTTTCCTTTCGTTTTAAATTAAACATATTCTACGACGCTAGGTCGTATCGTGAGTTCTATCAGTCCTGAAGATTCGATGTAACGCTTTAAATAATCAGATTATATTTAATAGTTACAATGAAAAGAAAAGTTGAGCTCCTTTCAGATGCCTGAATCATACAGTTTGCCTGTAACAGTAACTGCTTTGTCGGATGGCAAAAGAGATCATCCGCAGACCTTACGTATAATTCTGAAGGCACCTAATGATCATCAAAGCTTTGAATATGTTCCTAGAATCGCTTGACCGCGTGTGTGCGTCATGGGATTGCTTGATATTTACGCTAACTCGCTTGACTAAAATGACATATCCATGAACGTCATCTACGATCGACCCGATTACCACGACTCGAAGTGTTAAGTACTTATGCTAGATTTTTGAATATTTACAGGCCCTATTCTATCCTATCACAGGATAATGAGTCGCGGCACGTCCGAGTCGGCTAACAATATTCGCCGAGAAGTCGAATCTCCGGCGGTGTATCTCGCAGTGCAGTTATGGTGGCGCTGAATGGGGAGGTTGGGGTCAGCAATTTGAAGGTCCGCAGTGTTTCTCGTTCGCGAAGTACGACACAGACACCACATCCCCACCGACATTTATTAAACATTGTCCCTGAAAATGATAGAAGGGAAGTGAATACACATTTGTTACGTTTCAACATGATGTTCGACTAAACATTTAATTATTATCTATCTTACTTGATTTTTATGGGGACTGTGAAGAAGCACGCACTTAGTCATAAAAAACGCGACCATTGCGTTACCACCCAAGGCGGTTATGTGTGCACGAACAATGGCTAATACCTCCATTATAAAACTGTGCGTGAACCCGCTCAAACCACCGTTCTATAACAATTGAAAGCTTTTATTCACATACATTTATTCATTGTTTTATTAAATACCGAACCTTGAACGTTAAACGAACCTCTCTGATCGATGTGCTCTCACGAATAAAGAAAAAGTTCAAGTTCCCTAAATACCTCTCTATCCGACCACCCGGTAGGTAAGACAGAGGGGTTATATCTACGCCGTATCTTCCTTTCAAAGGCACCTATAAAATTTTAATTATTTTTGAAACGCTGATAACCGGTGCATGTTTCTTGAAACATGAGTACTTACATGTTTGTGTTTATGGATAGTATGAAGTTTCGTTCGCAATGGTGAACGGGTCCTGGATTTCAATCCTACTGCGTTAATTAGAGTAGAAGAATTTACTGTAACACTACTGGATGCGTTATCCGATGAAATTTCGTTATGGTCCACGTCCAAGTTAAATATCATGTCACTGTCATCTGGAAAGACGAATTGCTTCGATAATTATTTAAACGATCGAACGAATTATAATTATTAAATGACCTACCCGACTTTTTCACTTGATCCTTGCTCACAGAATGAGTCATCAATTTCTTTTTAAGTTTATTCATTTTAACTGGATCACCTAAACCAAGAGCCATGCCAATCACCGTGAACTGTATTTCGTCTGGTTCAGGAAGGGCTAATTTAAACTGCATGTCGCAAAGGGCACATGGGATCATTTTCCTCAATTTAAAATACACAGACTGAAAGAATAAATAACTGACTGTATCATTACTATATATCAATACTATTTCCAATAAAAGTAGAAAATCTGGAACTGTAAATGTACCTGAAGTAATTTAGCAAAACATTTTGAAGGCATGGACGCAAACTGGCCCGCTGGAATTTTCGTCCTTGAAATTTGTGTGAACATCTGTAGATTCCTAACAATCTCCAATTCGTCAAGGCCAGGAATTGTTTGAGTATTTACAACATGAAAGTCATCGGGAGGTCTGTCGTCCATTAATAACGATATTCTATCCATATCCTCTATATCGTCGACTTCCAAGACACAAGTATCTCTGGTTCCGACACTAAAATCTAAATCAGGGAGTTCTTCGTCAGATTCATCAGTATCCGAGGTTGCCAACCGTCCATTTTCAACATCCTGCGATGAGATGATTATTATTAAAAACATTTAACTAACACTTATTAAGTACTAATGCTTACCGTGACAGGTTTAAGTCGATAAAACTCTCTATTCTTCTTGACTGTCTCGAGTAAAGTTTTTTGGATATCCGCTAATTGTTCCTCTTTGTGCCAAGAATTTCCAGAAGCAATTTGTGGTACCGATGGAGTTGGTAGCGCCGTTAAAAATACTGCACTACCCACAGCCATGCCAATAATCAATCGTTCACCAACGGAGACTTGAAGCTTCAAACCAAATATGGCGTTCATTCCTTTAACCTTTAATTTATTTAAAAGCAAACTATGTAATTCGTATTCTAAGAATGGCAAGCAGTCTGATATCTCCTTAGCATTTAATTCTCCTCTGAGATCTTTTTTGGTTTTGCACACAGTAGCCTGTATAATACATCCTCTTCCAGTGATTATTACGTTCTCCGGAAGTTCTATAGTAGTGAACATCACATCCGGTACTCTGGCACGTTTGCATATTGCACATTTCGATACGCTTACGCGAAAAGGTACGCTCGCGTCGTTGTAAGGTAAATGACAAAGGCTACATTTACTTTGGAACTGAATCTCGTGATCTTTACTTTCTGAGGTGTGCCTAACTTTACCACCCTGATGAACTGAAGCTGTTACTGGTGTATCGGTATCAGTTTTTTCTGCTTTTGCAGGTATTGGTTTTTGTTGAGTCTTTTCTCGTTCTACATCGGTAGGATTTATTACTGATCCTGATTGTCCTTTATTAATAAAAACGTTATCGACATCTTGAGTTGAGCTGTGCAGATTAATGATTGCTGCTGTACCATACGCGTTCAATACACAAACGTCATCACTATAAAAAGAAATAACAAATGAGACAATAAAAGAAATAAGGAATAGGAATGAATGTTAATCACACAATCCCTTACCAGATACTAGTTTCTTCCCTGTAACCTATAACCACGTTACATGCCAATGCTCTTGCATGTGATCTAATCTCCATCCTAATTTCTTTCCACCAACTATCACGACTTTCGGGCTCTTCTAAATTACTAATTCTTTCCAGTAGCTTGACTGATCTTGAGCTTACAAGACCACCTGTCTCAATATACACAAATTATTAATAAACTTTATAATGAAAAATACTATAGAATTAACATATTTTAAATTGAATGTCTTACCGATATGAAGGATGAATCCTGGTGGATATTGCTGCATAGTGATAAAAGGGTACTCTAACATTTCGAAGGCATCCTGATTCATGGTCCTTATTACAGCTGTAGGTGTCTTCAAGAATCCAGTCATTGATCTATCGTTTGTTCCAAGAGAATTCCCTATAACACACATCACAGTTTGTTTTCAATTGATCAATACCTTACGTTTGTTTATTTGTATGTCTTACATTTTTGCAAAAGGAATGTCTCATAAAGTGATATCACTACTTATTATGGTAGATACCCTTACCCTAAGTAAGGAATGGGCAAAGAAGTAAATAATGTAAAAAAATGATTACCTATAACCATGTGGAATCATCATGAATAATGATATTTTTGGTTCAGGAATTTCTTCTTTGCCGGATATAACTCACTTTATGAGGCAACCTGTAATTTGAATCTGGGCCCAAAATGAACTACCTGAAGGGCAATGCATTGATAAATATAGTGCAACTGTAGCACCGTCAGCCAAATGAAATAAACATAATTATACTTCTAACATACGATTAATAGAATGCAACTTTTATATAAGACTTAATGAAATGGAATTTATCGTGATTATCCTTTTAAATCATGGAACTCACCTTTAGGTGTAATGCTCAAATCGGAATCACTGGATCTTCGGTGCAATGACATCGCAGGTTGTGCCTTGGTCGCCGGTACTTGACATACTTTTGAGACCATAGAAGGAACAGCCGGAAGTGGACAAGGTGGACTTACAGATGCCTCATCTTGTTGCCTGTGATCGGGAGAAGGACGGGACACACACGAGTTGTCAGTGATATTAGCAGTGTTAGTAATATTAGTAAATTTATTATCGTCTGATACTTCACTCATATTACAAATGCTATGACTCTTATGTGCCGCGTTATCAATGGGTGAATGTAATGTTGATGGATTAGTATCTTTCAGTTTTAATTCCTTCATTTCTATTACGCTATTGCTATACCTAAGCGAATCGCTGCTCTGAGTATCTACGGTTAATTCCTTAGCAGCGATTTCATGTGATTTCAAATTGACTACAGACCTTTCGGTAGTCAAACTTTGCTTTGAGCTAAATGATTCAGTTCTGTGTATGTGCGATTTAATGAAACTGTCGCTAATGATGATGCTCTCGAGAGAGGAGTTGTAGGATGAGGAATCAGGCGTGACCGGTGGCGGTATGGATTGATTTGAAGGGAACATGTCTGAAGATTTGTAAATTTGAAGCCGCCTCTTCAAACGTTTGTTGTGCAAACTTTTCCGCAAATTCGTGGGATGTATGTTTCTATATAATCTGTCTCTCTTCTTCCTTTTTAATCTGTAATGGTCATTATTATTGTAACCATCCGGATGTTCCATCATCTTTGTGTCGATCAGTCTAATTAGGTCCAACATCCGACGTTGCCTGTTCTTGTGTTCCGTATCGTGAACGTCGTTACACGAAGACTGTATTAAACTTTCAATGCTAGATGAAGTCTTTGATGCCGATTCATTTACTTTACTGCCTGTATCTTCTATTACGTGAGACTCTATAATTGTAGGAGTCTGAAATTGTTGTAACGATGGAAGCGACTGTGTCGATGCGGAAAACTTCAGTACATTATGCTCTTCCAATCTATCGAAGCGTTCCATATTCTTAAATAAATCTCTACGAGGAACATTATCAGTTTCTTCGATTGAAGATGGGGATCTTCTCTCTTTGTTCCCTTGTCTAAATGTTACTTTATCTTTTCCCTCTGTATCACTTCCGCTTTGCAGCAAAGAGTATGTAGACGCGGAGACTTCGGACTCATCTGCATATGACAGATCATCAGTTGTATTAGTATTCGCAGCAGCATGTTGACGAATATTCATTGTTGGTTCTTGTTCTGTATTAATTGATACAGTTTCACCTTCTTGCATTTCTGAAAAGAAAGGTGGTCGAATTTCTACCGGCGTACTGGTCGCAAGAGGACTGTAAGAGTCTTGTGAATCTGTGCTTTGTTTACGTTGCATATCATTCTTAGTATTTTCAGAAGACACTGTTGCTAAGTGGGCATTTTTAAAAATAACATTTCTGGCCTCTTTTATAGTTTTATTATATTCTTCTATCTTATCAGTTGTTAAATTCGAAGACTTTCCAAGGTCAATGTGCGATTTAGTAGGAGCAAAACGAAATGGTATATGATTTGTAGATATGCATTTGAACAAAACGGATGTATCTTCTTGGTGAAGAGGACGCGATTCACTATCCATTCTCTGCAATCTTCTCTGTGACGATCTTGACTTTAATGGCGGAAAACTACTAGATCTAGCAAGCATTTTAATAAATTTGTAACTTTCCCCTGGTTCTTCGTCAGTTGACAACTTCGAATCGCGTAAAATGTCGTAATTGGCACTGTTAATTGAAGATCGATCCGAGAAATCATTAGAGCTAGGTGTGTTCTCTTCAAACGATGAATCAAATTGTTTTTTCTTCTCTGCTTTTGCTATTAACGCATCCACCTTTTCTTTGTAAACCTCTTCATCTCTCTCCCGATTTTCACGCGTAATAACTGTATCTCGATGCTCCGGAGGTTTAACACTTTCTTGCGTATTACTAGATAATGCTACTGGCGACTCACGACCTTCAGTGACATCTTCTAAAGGCATGCTGTGTATGGACTTAATCAAAAGAGCAGCTATATTTTCTTTTTCCTTACTATTTTTGAACATTTTCTCTTTTCTTGGATATATGCTGACAATCGAAGACCTAGCTGAACTAGTTAAACGTGCATTCCCTTTACTTTCCGTGTCGCTTGAACCAAACAACTTCTTTAAATTCTTCATACGAACATCCAAAATACTTTTGTTGCTCTCACCCCTTTCATCCTCCTGAGCTAACATGATTCTTATGGAAGCATCTTGGATCACAGATTCAGCTATACTTGAATAAGAAACTGCTGATTTTTTCATACTACTTATTCTCTGTGGTTTTTCATTGGTTCTTGCATCTTCTGATTCATCGCAGGAGTAGTCAAACGTTTTTACCGTTCGTTTGGGTCCTTTGAACGTCTTCGCGTGATGTGAAAAATTATCCTTTATACGTATATTTGCGATAAAAGGATCAGGGACACATGTAGGAGGAACGGGATATATCGGCAAACTCTCATCGAGTCCTGAATGTTCCTTTTGTGCTTTGTGTTGTGAAAAGAATGCCCTATATGAACACATGCAGGTGGATAAAAAGAAAAGTACCTATTAGTTCATGTATTTAAATTTTGATAATCAAAGAATATAAAGCACAACTTCTATAAACTAAAATTTTAAAGCTAGTTCAATTTTCCACAAAAGAATATGACAGAAGCATTTTTCATAAGAAATATAGTTTCACTTATAAGACTTTTTCATGCATTTAGTTAGTAGTAAGCAATATACAAGAGATTGTTTTTTTGTACAAAGAAATTTCAATATTTAACTGAATAATCAGCATACCACTCACAACACAGAACACTGTAAAGTAATGTGTGCACTACAAATTTTGTTATATCAAAGGCAGTTTAATAGTTATTGGGGTTTTAGACTATAACTAATTAACAACTTGTTCATGAGAGATTAGATTAAGCATAGGTAGTTGAAAATATCATGAATACTTACTCTTCAATATTGTCAGTTGGCAAGTTTAAAGTGTCCTGCAATTTTACAAGAGTAACTGCAGTACCTATACCTCTAGCAACAATGCCAGATTCACCTTCCAGATCAAAATTTTGTAAATATCTATGCACAAGAAAATAAGTAGTCAATATTGTATTACATAAACTTTTTAATTTATAAAATTTCATTCAGAAATACAAGCCTACCCAATGACAGCATTTCCACCAAGGTCCAAAGCTTTCAGTCCAATTTTCCTCTGAACTTCTCCACTCAGTTTAAAAAATAATGTTTGACGTGCTTCATTTGAGGCTCTAGGTGTTCTTATTTTATCGATCCATTTGTATTCAGGATCATCACTAACAACTAATTCTTCCACAAAGCCATGAATACTTTGAGTATGATATCCATGTGGTATATTTGGTGCTGAAATGGTATTATTTAATATATCTACTGTATAGTATTATATATAAGTATTACCTGTATCTACTAATACTCTATATACTTACAATAAAAAAACTGTACGCCGCAAGAAGATTGTCTAAATTTATTAAAATCAGAGAATAATTCCACTTTCACTATAATATTAACTTCACCACGAATTCCATGCATAGTGTCATACACAGGAATCCATCCTGTCATAACTGAACCTAGAATAAAAAATAATATTATTACTTTTTTAACTTGTAATATAAAATGGTTAGGTCCTTCAATGACATAACATGATGCATTAAATGCTTACCACCCTGTGAACCAGTATTAGTATTCATGGCTGCCTCCAATGTCCAAATATTTTTAACAGTAGGAGGAACTCCAGGCAACAGTAATGGATTTAAATTTATATAAACTTTGCCTATGGCATCATTAGCAGAATAAGTATCGTGGTCCATTAATCTAATTTGTAAGGGTTCATCCTGTAGCTCAGAGTCATCAACCTCAAATCTGTACCATTCAGAGTTCCATTGAGGATTCAAAGATTTCCTACACACATCTGTTTTATACGTTGTATTGCCAAATTTTAATTCTACATATGCATCCGTTGTGTCTCCCGAACGATCCATCACAGGCAAGTTACGTCCTGCCAATACTTTTACTTTTATTTTACCTGGCATCTTGGCAGCTATTGTTCTAATGGAAATCTGCAATAAATACATCACAATTACTGCAGTAATCTCAGCAACAAAGGTTATGTTTAGAAATAAAATTCTTGTTAATAAAATGCCATACACTCCGTAAAATGTAATATTAAAATGCGAAGCAAAGAATTAAATGAAATATTTAAGTTACACGGAGATGTACTCACGTTCGTCAAAACGTTGAGAAATATTAATGAGAGTTATCGTACAGAATTCATTTGACGAGCGAATGAGTTGTTATTTGTTCCATCCATGCGTGAAAGTTTTAGATTGGCGAGTATGTATTAAAACGCACTGTATTAATCATTTTAGCGGCAAGTACGATTAAAATTTCGTATAGTGATAAGCTGACATTTGTTTATAGTCACATTGCCAAAGGAAGGCATCGCGTGGTTCCTCAAGGACGATCCTCGTAGGAATTAACGTATTTATTCTTCAGATTTTATAATTTCCACAGAACGGTGATTGAAACCAGCGTTTGCACCGTGAACTTGATAAAATATCATGTAAATTTCTTAACAACTGTGTTGACTGCTAATTTTATCGATTACTTTATTGCTGTCAGTATCCTTCAGCTTACCCTAAAGTTTCACCAATAACGTACGAAATCCAAATATTATATGCATTATAATTGGAATTGGAGTACGTCCAGATTATTGCTCTTTAGGGAATTTCTACGTTTTAGTAGTTCAAATGCGAAGCATCGTGACGATTTTGATATGTTGTCTGTATACTACATACTTCTATTTTAGGTTACAGGAACAAGAAGTGTGTTTCATTTGAAAATGTATAAATCCATTATCGACTGAGTCATTTTTATCGATCGGAACGCGTATGTAGTTCAAGGAAAGATAAATAGGTGGTCATTTGTTGCGGAACACCTCTTTCATTACGGTAAGGTCATTTAATAATTAGTTGGTGATATTAATTTGATAAAATCGAAATTTGTACGTCGCAAAACCAATGTACGCGATCGAAGTTTTTTGAATGTTACAATAGAAAATTGTTGTGATTCTGTACTTGTTTGTCCTGTGATAGCACTTGTTCGCATGCGTTGGGAGAAAACTGGGGTGGGAAATCACAAGCATTTATACGGGAAGCGCAGTGTTTCCTTAGCATTCCGCTTCGCGCAACCGTGTAAGGTGAGAGGATGTTATTGTTCTTTATGTTTA